AGAAAGCGCAAGTAGTTTGCTTTGCGGAAGTTAGTGCTTTTAATTAATACGCTAAATTTGGCAAACGATAGCCAAAAGACGGCTCGAATCTGCTCTGCCTTTTTCGGTTTCCGGCCATTTTTAGGAGAATTAAATAAGCATGTATGTATGGTTTAAAAGCTTTGTAATTTTATTAAATCAACACCATTTCTTAAAATGTTTTACAAAGTTAATAATTAACATGTCTAGTATTTTTTACGAGTGTGATAGTTTGTAAAACCTTCACTCTTGTGAAGTGGAACCTCACAGAATTGACATTATGTCTTGTTTCGCTTACAGTTTTCTGATTCATTATCACTTTTTACATCGGATAGCTTATATGCTAAATTTCTTCACGGATTTCCGCATCTTCCACAGAAAATTATTTCGTGCCTTCCATTTTAAATGTTACGAAGTTACTTAGAAATACTATCTAAAAAGCAAAACTGCGCAGTAGAAGCAACGGACAGATAGTACTATAATTAATGGTACCAAGAACAAATAACATAGTGTGCATAAAATGGAAAACTGAAACGTACTGAAAAACTCAAGCAAAAACGTAAATCTAGATGGCCCGTCCTAGGAAGTCACATCCGTTAAGTGTTAAGAAAAAGTTAACGTCCGAATGAGACGGCAAAATTGCGAGGTCTTGGCTAAATGGGGAGCGTTTATTTGATTGCAACGTACTTCATTTCCCCTTCTCTGTGTGCATGGAGGTAGGAAAGGGAGGAGGGGCCAACCCGCGCTAAAAGTGAAGCACTGCTTTCAAGCTTGGGTCACCAGATGGGTGTTCTTTGTTTACATTCAGAAGCTCGCTTGACAAGATTCTGATAGTATTTCGACGCACGACAGTTCCATAGAAAATCGAAAAAGGGACACTTTCGCATGAAAGAAACATTCATAGTGTGATGGATAATAGCAATTTGTATAGTTTACTGACATTTACGCAAAAATCACATCTTGGTTATTTTTTGATAACTAACAACAGCGATTTTGATTATGAATTTGTTTTATAAAATTATAAGCTGTTGCACTACAAAAATATAGATTTTAAGAAAAATGTTATGCTTAAAGAATGAAAAATACCTTACGGTACATTTAAAATTGTATACGTCTTTCGATACCCTTGATAGAGTATTCGCTACTTTTATTTTATTTTCCAAACGTCAAAATGTTTTTTAAATAAAACAAATTTTTTTCACATCCATATATTATTGTAACATGTACCTTTTAAAATTTTTTAAAGGAGAGGCTTTACTGCTGCTCATTTTAAAACCATCGTTTTAATTTTATATATCTGAAAAATAATCACTTGGGCTTACACGTTTATAAATAAATTATGTATGTTAAAATATTTTTAATTAGGCACATAGGTCAGATTAAGTTTTTATTAAATAGAGTAACGCGTGCAAGGGCTATCTGCCTAAAGAGAGAGATGCCATCGCGGAAGAATTTTGAAAAAAAAACTAACCTTTGAGTGGGTATTAAAAATAATACTTATAATTTTCATTCAAATTATATTCATATATATTTTTTATGTAAAACTTTCGGGTGTATGCTAAATTAGTGTAAATTACTTTACACGAAAAATATAGTGAATGCACAGAAATTAAAGATTTGCACATGCCGGAAATGAAAAATAGGAAATATGTATGGTTATTTATGCATGTACTTGCAAAAAGCATGTATCTGCCTTTGACAAAATACTTAAATATTCATTAAATTATTTATAAATGTATTTGAAATGAAGAATTTATTCACTTATAAACAACTGTCAAAGTACTGTGAAGAAATCTAATTATTAAATGTATCTAATTTATAATGATTATAAATGTTATCTAAATATATAATAACCTGTTATCTAAATATATAATCTAAATATATAATAACCTATATAATAACCTTAATTAAATTGTAAACATAAGTTGAAATCCTGTTGACAAATACGTTATAAAACTATTTAAGCAAGAATTGTTCGTATTGGAAAGCAATCTGTTAAAAGGTATTGTAAAGCAAATGCTATGAGATGCGCACTTAAGAACATAATAAAGAGTTTTGGAATATGTATTGTTGAAATGAAGGGTAAAAAAAATCTGATAAGTATAATTAAAATAATTATTTAATTATTCCCCTTACATTTTATAATAACTCGGTTACAAGTTTTAAATAATACTTAAAAAAAAAAAAAAAAAAAAAAAAAAAAAAAAAAACTTATTTTATTCCATTTTAGGAAATGTTCAGAGAAAGTCAAGTAACTATTTAATTCCTAATAATGTCTCTAATTTAAAATGAACCGAATAGAGCATTAATTATAAATTGACTTGCATTTTTCGATTTAAAAGATGCCTCAGAAGCCAAAAATCATGTCATATTTAAGAAAGTATTTTAGGAAGAAGCTCTATAATATAGAAAAAATAATGCATAATTTTAATATTAATAATACAATAAACTTTGATCTTAATTTTTGCACCTTAACCGAATAAAATCGAATTACCTTACTTTTTTTTTTTTTTCTAATGTAATTAACGAAAACTTGTGAAAATATTTCATTCAAATTAAACCATTCTGAGAAAACTGTCCTGTGAAAAGTATAGCATTTAATTCCGTTCAGAATGAAATGTTGTTTTAAAAATATGTTGTTTTCACATACTTAGGACTCTGAAGTGTTGTAGAAAAAGAAAATATATACATTTATATGTATATTTACGAAGTAATTACAAAATATTTACATCCGAACGCGTCAAATCCCATAGAACTCAATGGTAAATGACCCAATGTTTTGGTCACCACGTAGGGATCGCCAATGCTTCAGAGCAGGGTACGGGAGAAACTTGTTTAGGGCGACTCCATCTTACTTCCTACCTCCATGTCTGTGTGGGGAGGAGGGAGAAATTTCGGTTCAAATTACACGATTTTTTCCTTCGACTAATCTTCCATCGGTTGAAAAGATACCAAACCTTGAAAAACTTTCCCCTCTAGTGATCAGGCAACCTAAATAAATCTAGTATTTTGCTAAAATTAAATCACTTTCTATGTAAAAACAATTAAGTGAGTGGCTAGAGAAGTTTTCTGTTGATTAGTTGGAAGGTATTGAGAAAACCATGGCTCTGAAGGAAGAAAGATTTTCCTTTTCTATGATAACTCAGTTCACGTTTAGAATATACCACAGTAAACTTTTTGCCTGTTAAATTACAAAAGAAGAATTTTTGTTCTTTCCAGAAGCATGGTTTTGGATTCCTTTCAGCCAATCAAAAAAAAAAAAAAAATCTCTAGTCATCCAGGTTTTAAAGTTTGCTTTATACGTCATAGAAGATGATTTAATTTTAGAAAATCATGAAAGATTTTTAATGTGCCTTATCATCAAGGAACCTCGAATTAACAAATTTTGATCAAGGAATCATCCGTAATTTTAAAATTAATTTTAAAGATAGTAGCTGCTTAGATTAAACTTTAAGGTAAATCTTGTCCTGTATTCGATGTCTTGAATCAATGTATATGACTAACTTCGTTGGGAGAAATGTCACAAAAGAAAAAAAATTGTTCCTTCAAAGCAAGCTTTAGAGAGAAGTCTAATAATGAAGAAGAAATCAAACCAAGAACCTTTTGAATGTAAAGAGAGAAAATCATACCTTAAGAACAGTGGAAAATCTTTAAAAAGCAATTTATTCTTGAAATTTTCGTCGGAGATTTCTTAGAAGCGAATATTTTAATGCAACTCCGGTATTTTAGCAGATGCCAAAATTTGGGTGGGTGTAAAATCTCCAACATACTTTGACGCTGAAGCAGAATTTCAGAGAAATTTTAAAACTATGATACTAAATGAAGCAAGACAAGCTGTCAACACATAATGGAGTTATCACATCTAGCGATAAAAATGGTGATCCAGCTACGTAGGTTTCGCTGGATCTGAGAATTGTCCGTTTCGACGTCCAATCCCTCGTAGCGGAAACATGTGATTGGGACTTAATTCAACCCAGTTTCGATCCTATCGAAAAGCTAGCTGCATTGTGCACTTTTCCATTTCAATGTAAGTACTATTCAGTTACTCCTAAAACGTACTCCACGGAGGCACGTCCTTTCTATGGCAGATAGTCTTCAAGTGCTTTGCAATAATAGCCTAAACAAAAAATATCAAAGGTTGTACAACTGGGAGTTTCCCACACAGAATGCTACAGCTATTTCCTGTGATCTAGGTAATTTAAAGCTTGTTTCTTTTCCTCACAGAAAATAGTAAAATCTTAGTATTAAAATTTTCGAGTGTACTTAACTATCAATATATCTTGTAATAATAACAGTAAAACATGCTCCGCTACTAGGCACCTCACGGACATTTTATATTTAGTACACGGATGTATCTGTCTCCTGAACGACCTTAAAAACGTATATTTAAACTTCGCCGCACTTTATTGGTTTCAGATAGTGCACTTGAAGTAGGCATATTTAGAAATATCCTGCTTTCTGCGCCTCCGTAGCAGGGAATGGTGTTGGTGTATTTAATTATGGCAAAGCACACTAGGGCTATCTGCCTAAGGGGAGGGATGCCTTCGTGGAGGACTTTCTAAGGGAAACTGGCTTGTCTAGACGTTACACATGGGGAAAACCACGAAAACGCCCATGCAGCCAGCCCGTTCGCGGGATTTGAACCTCGGACCGAACTACCAGTGTTCAGCGACTTTACCGCTCGGCCGCTGGTGGGCCCGTAGCAGGGAATGAAATATATTGAAATTAACGGTAGTTTACAGCCTGTCTTACAATTAGAAATTCATGAAATAGTATGATTTTATTGAATTATTAACATGTCAGGAAAAAAACGATTTCTTAATAATTTTGGTAGTTTGACCTATTGTCTACAACTGTATATAGTAAAAACCTAATTGCTCAACATATTTGTTTTAGCGTTGTGTAAAATATGTTATCCTCTTGTGGGAAAAAAGAAAAATGATTTTATTATATGCTTGCAAATCTTCATATTCTAATTGTAGGTTACAAAGTCAGACCTTCTGCAGCTAATGATTGATACTAAGATCGTTACCGAAAAAAAAGACATAGATATTACCAGACTGGAAGCTGGAGACGCTGAAAATGAAGAAAAAGCGGATAAGGAAGGTATAAATTTCCTACAGCAGTAATACCAGTTTAATAATATCGTTATACCAATGAATGCATCAAAAAAATTCTTAAAAAAAATTTATCTCCTACATAATTTTTTGAAATACTGTTAATAAATAAATGTTAGTTTAAAGTATGAACATTATAGCTTAAGTTTAAAATAAAAAAATATTACAAAACACCATCTCAGCAATATTCTTCAGGAAGTTCAAAAACGCTCATTAAAGCATTCAACCAACGAAGTTCTCCCGCCTTCTTGGCATGTCTTCGTGGTGTAGTGGTCAGCACACTCGGCGCGTATTCGAGAGGTCCGTGATTCAGGCGAGGGCATTGCACATTTTTCATCTGTCCTACTTCGAAATAACCTGATGTCTCTACAGTGGCGCTAGAACTAAAAACGGTGGTGGATGATGATTCTCCATCACCAGGATTTGGCTATTGGGTCCCCTAATCTCCAGTCGCCCTTTAAAAGGGGGAGTATATAAGGTATTTCTCTCGCCTTTTTAGCATGCCTTCGGGATGTAGTGGTCAGCACGCTCGGCGCGTATTCGAGAGGTCCGTGGTTATTGTGCCGGCGAGGGCAATGCACATTTTGCATGTTTCCTATTTCGAAATAACTAAATGTCTCTACGAAGTCAGCTTGCTAAAGTTTTCTCTTTTGAATAATCAATTCGTTTTCAAAAACAGTTTGAGGGTCATGAAACTAATTAGCAATCTGTTCTAATTTCTTCTAAGTTTCTTTCGCGATGGAACGAAAGCAGCAAATTTAATTGCTTTTGTTCATATTTCTAGATGTAATACTTTTATTTCTTGTTTTGCAGACATCTTAAAGTTTTTGTCAGACCGAACAATAAATTACCACAACAAGCCATTGAACATTATTATCTTTGAAATCCATATACCCTTACTAAACAAATCTTATAAATAATTAAATACATTATGATAATACTGCCTGATTAATTATTCAAAGAACCTATAGGTACTTCCTAGTGGTGGGCCTTTCTTTTCAGTATTTCAGATGCGACTGAGCCGGAAGGCCTTCAGTACTGCATGTATCCAGTTTTGCATGTTAGAAAAATTACCCAGAAATCCTTCTTGATGAACAATCGTATCATGTACGACATTGGCGTGTAAAGAGTAATTTAATTTCAGTGATTACTTTTCAAACGTTACTCATAAAAGAACTTACTCACCGTACGATGGTTACTGTAGCAAAATACATTTTAAGTTTCTGAAAAACATACTTTGTTACATTCATTTATAAGTTGAACGAATTCCTAACTCAAGGAAAGTACTTCAGAAACTGATTTAATTCATGATATTGACTTCAAGCAGTTTTAATTACAGTCTGAGAATTAAAGTGGTTTCTATCTATCTTAATTTCTTTTCTTCCCCCTATTTCTATCATTAAGTTATCAGCACCCTGTTTTTATTAAACATCGAGTTTACATCGGTAGACTTAAAATATAATTAGGAAAATCCACTCGGTTAATCATAATTTAAGTATTGCTTAAGATATTTTCTAAAAATTTATATAAAAGATACTTTGCTTAAAATATAATGTAAAAAATATATTGCTTAAACTACGAGTAAAATTAAAACAAAGATCAGCAGTTATAAATATGTAATAATAATTTTAAGTCTTACTAAATGCTTTTCTTTATAGAAAACTTGAATAAGAAGATAAGATATATGAGCGACGATGAAATTATTTCAAGTGCATTTATTGTTTTATTAGCTGGGTATGTGCATATTGTTTTATTAGCTCTGTAATAATTATGTTATCCAAGTCATTGTTTTGTTTAGCTACTTCATAATAATAATTAGTATTGCATATACGTAACTAAAACATCTTGCATATAGTCACTTTTAAAGCAAATGAAAAAATGTGATTCAATCAGTGAATTACATAGTTATTGAATTATCATGGTGTTAAGCACCTTTAAATGCGATATCTTTACTTACGAACATATAGCTAATAATTTTAACACCTTTTGTCTTAAGTAAATGCCCCTTTCTAATTCGCGAGGAAAGGAAACGATTTTGGAATTATTCCCTCCCCCCCTTTTTTTGGGGGGGGGGGTAAAGAATTTAAGCAAAGGTTCAAAAATTTTTACTTGGATCCTAAAAAGATATAAACGTGTTTTACAGCTACTAAAATATTAAGAATGGCTTCAGCTGCTTACTAAAACTAAAAGGAAAATTATGTTTACTTTTTCGCTGTATTTGTTTATGCTTATTTTCATGGATAGGTTTTATTTCTCCGGCCTCCCTAGCGTTCCTTCGTGGAGGTATTTCTCCGGCCTCCCTAGCGTTCCTTTGTGGTGTAATGGTCAGCACACTAGGCCGGTATTCCAGAGGTCCGTGGTTCGATTCCCGCCGAAGGCTTTGCTAATTTTTCATCTCTCCGGCTTTTCCAGTTAACCTAATATCTCTACAGTGGCACCCGAACTAAAAGGGCGGTGGATGATGATTTCTCCCCAAACCAGAATTTGACGATTGGTTCCCCTAAAACCCCAGTCTCCCTTTAAAAGGGGGGTTATATGAGGTATTTCTCCCGCCTCCCTAGCGAGTCTTCGTGGTGTAGTGGTCAGCACACTGGGCCGGTATTCCAGAGGTCCGTGGTTCGATTCCCGGCGAAGGCTTTGCTAATTTTTCATCTCTCCGGCTTTTACAATTAACCTAATGTCTCTCTCTACAAGTTAAACAGAATCTGTCTTTTAAAGAGGTAAAAAGTGCATCCTAATCTTAGTTTAGTATACAAATATTGCAATATTTTGGATTTCCTCCCTCATTAACTCAGTTTTAGTCACTGTTCTCCTAAAAATAATATATATTCAAATCTAGTAACAGAAAGTAATTCAAAATTAGCATCATATGTCAGGTAGCTTTCTAGGGTTACAATTGTTGTCTGACTAATAGAAACGAGCCCTTGGAGGATGTAAAACTAAGAAAATGCTGAAAATCAATTTCGTCATAAAAATATTTGTTTGGGGCTTTTCGTGCCGTCTTATAGTTACTAAAATTAATTACCATCTGGTAATTAAAAAAACAAAGGAATCAGAAAGATTTTTCTCTATGGCTGTATTATTTTACTGCTTCTGTTCTTGCCTTTCTCCTGTCGTGTTTAGTTTTCAAATCCTCTCAGACTGAATGCTAACACCAAATATCTGTCGGTAGTATTTATAGAGTATGTTCCAAAACTATTTTCCCATTGGAAAAATACTGAGCTGACCCCTGTGGATAATTCCTGAGGAGAGAAATGTCTTAAATCACTTGTTTAAGTTAATCCTCTTAGAACGACACAAGCGCTAAAGAGAACAAACATAATAGCGGAATTTGAAGCCCTAAAAGCAAATACTTACATGCTGTGAAATAACCAAAAATCTTGTGCTAGTTGAGTTACAAAGAGTTTCGAAGAAAATCTCCTTTTGAATGTGTACTGTAACTTATAAACTAAATAATTACTAATAAATAAAAGTAACTAATAATTTTCTTTCATGCTCGTCCTATGGGTCCCATGTTTTGGAACTCCTGTGTATCTACTCATCGAAAAACGTATTTTTAGCACTTTAATTATCCTATCAATACCTCTCATATGGTATTTAGTACCTCCTTTCGCGCATTCTTTATATAAATCTCGAACAAGTTCCATTACATTTCTGTATTTTAACATAATAAAAGCACAACGTCGTTCAAACATGTTTCAGAAAAAAGAGAAAAGGAAAGCTCGCGGAACATCCGTAATGAAAATTATTACAGTAAAATAAAAGTAGGTACTCGTTTGTTATAGCGGCTACCAAACACTTTTGGTGATTTTAGATTTGCGCCTGGATCTCAATTGTAATTTTGCCAAGCTTGTGAAGCTGCAATGTAAAAATAAACAACACAATATGCACTAATGTTTTTGAAAAATGCAATACCATGAAGGAACTGTCAGAAATAAATGAAATTTATTCAACATATTACTCTGATAGCGATACAAAGAAATACTTTACAAGACAAAAAAAAAAAAAAAAAAAAAAAAAAAAAAAAAAAAAAAAAGAACGTCTGAAATCATTATTTTGTGTGTCCTCCACGCTCAGCGATGAGAGCTTGTGGCATTGAATCATACAGGCTCTGAATGTAATCGTAGGGAATGGCAATCCGTATGGCTTTGACATGACGCCAAAATTCAGTCTTAGTGTGTACCCCACCATCTGTACGAGCCATAGAGCTGTATTGTATATAACAGGTCTATGGTAAGAGCGAATCGCCGACCGATAAACTCCCAAACGTGCTCAATGGGCGACATATCCAGGGAACAAGCAGGCTATGGAAGAAACGAAACCTGCTGTGCCCTAAAGAAGGCATGTAGTCTAAGAAACATGTGCACGAGCATTATCCTGCTGAAATATTGCCTTTATTAGCTTTTAAAAGCAAATATTTCTTCAGAAGATTGTAAGTACGAGTACATAACTAATGGTTTAGTTTCTTTACTTATGGCAAAGCATAAGAGAGCTACCTGCCTAAGAGAAGAGATGTCTTCGTTGAGGACATCATGCAATTGGCTCATATGGAAGTTACGCATGAGTGAAACGACGGAAACACTCATGCAGCCATCTAATTCATGGGATTCTAACACGCGCTTACAGGGACCGAAGACCAAGGCGTTTACGGACTATCTTTGTAATAAAATTACATGTTGGGTTGGCAAAGGAACAGGGTAATCTGACCTTGTCAGTGACGCCTGGAGTCCCTCTATTGTTTTCTCTGATTTTATTCTTAGAGTCGTATTCGCGTGTATTTTACTTTTCTGTTTGTTCCATTAAAAGGTTCCCGAGAAATTAAATATAAATATTCTTAAAAAGAGATTTGAACCTGGCTTTAAAGCTACTAATTTTGTAAGAATTGGAGGCTCCCTTCAGCCGACCTGCACACGAGTGTCCCCATAGCTCAAAAGAAGGGGCCCCCGTCTCTCCACAAACGAGGGCAACCAGCACTCCAGCCGCCCCTAAACAACAAACAAAGATACTAAATTAAAAATAAGTACGCACATCTAACACAAACGAAATTTTACATAAGATTTAGACACAGGTGAAATGTACTTCCAGTGGCCAGTGTTTCGAACTGTGGTGCAGTAAACCCAATGCCGAGGCATGCTTATTACCACTCGATTTAGGAGGTCTTGCGGCATATTGTTTCATTTTCTTTATTAGAGAATTGACTAGGCCTTGCTTTTTCCCGAGAAAAGACTATGAACTGCAGTTCGCCGTTTTATAATATCCATACCTGCTTAATGGGACTGAGGTCTGGGGAGCACGCAAGCCAATCGATTTGACAAATATCCCCACACCCAAGAAGATTCTTCCCATTCCACGAGACATGGGATTATCATCCGTAGTAGAGATACTTCTTTTCAGTGGCTCCATGAAACAAGTAAACAAGTTCAGTAACCTAACCAGAATAACATCAGCCATGGTTGAAATTTCAAGCGCGTAGTAGTTCAGTACGTTTATTAATCATATTGCCACCTCACACCATCAATCCAACAGCACAATAAAGGTAGAATTCGTGTACTCTTTCCTGCTGGCCATAGTTTGGCAGGATATCTTTGTTCCTAGTTTGTAATAAATTCGACTTGCAAGTTTGCCGGCAGTATGGCATCGATTAAGTTTAGCTATTTAACAACTGCAATAGAAATTTGAAAATAATGTTAAAATATCTGAAATTCGCAGATTTATTTGATGTTCATGGAACGATTTGAAGTTTGCGAAATCTCAGAAAACCCCTCTAATTCGTGAATATAATCCCCAAAATCGAGTCTGATATAAAATTGCTACACTTATTATAACTGAATAGTAAATTTTTATGTTGATCTCAAAGTAAAAGGTAACATTCGTAAAAACACAGAACATAGTAACTATTGTTTATGTACGTATTACCAATGTTTATATAATTTCTTATACAAGCGTAGAGTAATTATTAGAATTCTGTAGACTATTTAGGCTTCTAAGTGGAAGCAAAATGTATAAACTATAAATAATGCCAAAAGTGAAAAGTTATGGTTATCACTTGACTTTGGGATTTGAATGTGAAATCGTGACTGAGCTCCATACTGCATTAACATTGCTCAGCTTCTCCCAAAATCCTATCCTCCAGTTTCTTAACATTACTGGCTGCAATGGCAGTCATTTAGAGAAATGTTAAAACAAAATTTAAATAGAAAAATTGAAATATTGTTTAATGTGGTATATATTTCGTTTTCAGCTATGAAACGACAAGTACAGCTCTTTCATTTACAACATACTTACTTGCTAAATATCCAGAAATCCAAGAAAAGGCTTTTGAAGAAATCGATAATCTCATAAAAAGCGTAAGTAAATGTATTCTTCAAAGTGGCATTGTACGAAACACAATTATAATACTAAACATATTAGTTTTGCATATGATTAAATAAATATATACTTATGTGCAGTTTATCTGCGACGCAGATAATAATTACTTTAACGTACTTTTTATTTTTTTGTTGATTAATTTGTTGATCCGTAATTTATTTGCATTGTAGTCATTCGTCAATATAAAAGAGCAATTAAACCAACTTTCGTTAAATATGAAATTAAATTATTTATACCACTTACTGGTTACATTTTACGTAATTCTTACACGATCTTTGACTCGAATGCCTTTAGAGCGATGTAGCTGAGACAAACAATGCGTAGACAGTACAAGATTCTCATTTTTGAAACGTAGTTTGCAATATGCAAGTATTAGTAGTAAATATAGGGTAGGCCAAATAAGACCTGCCAATGTTAAATACAAATAATTTTTTTTGATATAATTATTTTTTCTTTTTGTAGGTTATAATTGAATTCTTGCAAATTTATTATGGAACCATACAGTACAAAACAACGCGTTAAAATTATCGATTTTTTCTATTCTTGTCAACGATTAATTGTTAGGACGCAGCGTAAATATCAGTAATATTTAAATTTAAGTGTGTTTGGTGCGGTGTTATGGCCAATAGAGTTATCGGGACATATTTTTTTCGAGAATGAGGATGGAACGCCGGAAATGATTTCCGGAGCTACCTACAGAACAACGATTGAAAACTTTTTGCTGCCAATGGCGGAGTAGAACCTTTTTTTTTTTTTTTTATATATATATGGATATTTAAAAGATAGTGTATGTTAACAAACCAAAGACTATTAGACAGCTGAAGTAGAATATTCGAGACAAAATACTGAGCCTTCAACCAGAAACATTACGTGGTGTAATGGAAAACGCGTTAAAAAGAGCCAATCTCTGTATCGAGAAAAATGGTGGACATTTGTCTGATGTCATATTTCATACATAATTTCTATAAAATATATTTAATGTATAAAAATTAATCAAAATAAATGATTATTACAAGAGTTATCCGTGTTTAACATTAGTAGGTCTTATTTGGCCCACCCTATATACATCTGAGTATTATTAGTAAATTAGTAATAGAGAAGTTACGTTAAGCATATCTATTTGTTTTAATAATATGAAAAAGATAAACTTAAGACCATTTTTATCAACTATAGATACAAAACGAAAACATCATAAATAGAATTTTCGTATTAATACAATAATTGTATTTTGGTTTTCTAACATCCGTGTATGCCATTTCTTTGCTAAGGGTCATGATTTGGAGTACGCTACAGTAAACAAGCTGCCATATTTAGACAAAGTACTTAATGAATCCATGAGGATTTATCCGCCAGTATATTTGTAAGTATACTTATTTGCTTTATTTTTATTAGAGACAAATTTACTAATAGTTATATAACATATGATAACTTAATTTTTATAAATATTTAAATGCTTTAGTTACTGAAAAATTAATAAATATATGTCTGACGTGTCTTAACTCTGTCTTCAATTCATTATATGTTTGTTTTACGTATATATTATTTATCGTTGACAATTTTAATACAGTTAGTGTATTCTCAAAGCATTAGTGCAATTAAAATAATTTTGAATCTGATAAAAAAAATATACGTAGCAAAGAAGCATTTTTGACTGAAGCAAATTGATTTAGTCGAAATTTAGGTAGATGAAATATCTGTGCGCTTACCCGAAAACAATTTATAAATTTTCCAGATTAATACATGTTTTTCATGCATATATATAAATAGGTATTGGCTTTAGTTTCATTTTAATGCTTGTAAACTAATTTTAATTTGCTACTATGTGGTTATATTTATTCTTATGTAATAATGAAAGAATTTCCTTGGCTGTTTGTGCTGGCTTTCAATTTTGTTGCAGCAAACTTTTCTAGTTCTTCCTACTTATACAGTGGGTAAAAAAAGTATTGGCAATTGCCTTAATTTGTTCATTTTGACAAACAAATAAAATGTTATGCAATTTTAGCTGTCGTAATTAAATACAAGACATCTTAGATCTATAAAAATAGTAAAAATTTTATTTTAATTTGCAGTTTCTATGATTTTTTCTTTCGAAAACGAAAATTTGCATGTCAAAAAAGTATTGGCAAAGTTTTAACTGCTATTCAAATTTTGTTAAATTGAAGTCACGTGTTTCGATTGATAAGAAACTCTACCGGTATAAAGTCTGCAAAACTACTCCAAAAGTGTCTATGCATTATTTTGCGATTACTGCAGTAAAATGACTTCGAAATCGAAGGAGTTGGACGTTAGTGTTAAAAACACGATTATTAGGCTCAGAAATGAAGGTTTAACTTATCGTGCTATAAGAGTGCAGTTGAATATAAGTTTATTTACTGTCAGAAGTGTTGTAAAAAAGTTCAAGGAAACAGGATCAACTGAAAATAAGACTAGAAGTGGACGACCTCGAATATTTTCTACAAGAGAAGAACGTGTCATTATTAACAAGGTTAAGAAAAACCCGAAAATAAGTGCACCCCAGATAGCTAGAGATGTTGCTTTCACTTCGCAAAAGACTTTCAGCGTACAGACTGTACGGAATGTTTTACACGAGAGAAGTTATTATGGAAGGGCAGCTAGAAAGAAACCATTCATCTCGGAAATAAATAGGAGAAAGAGGTTAGATTTCGCAAAATCCCACGTTGATTTATCTGAAGAGTTTTGGAACACAGTTATTTTTTCCGACGAATCAAAGTTTAACATTTTCGGCAGTGATGGACGACGATATGTGTGGAGGAGGCCAAATACTGAATTGGAAAAAGCAACATTTAACTGCTACTGTAAAACATAGTGGAGGCAGCGTCTTAGTTTGGGGCTGTATGGTAATGGAGTTGGCAACCTGTATTTTATTGATGGTATTATGACAGCATGTACATACATTGACATTTTGCGCCATAATTTAAAAATCAGTGCCCAAAATCTTGGCTTGGGAACATCATTCGTTTTTCAACAAGACAATGACTCCAAGCATACAGCAAATCTCACCCGTGAGTGGTTACTCTACAATGCTCCTCGCCAGTTAAAAACCCCACCTCAATCGCCTGACATCAATCCAATTGAAAATTTATGGCACCTGCTGGAGATCTAGAAATAAGGAAACATAAAATTTCAAGTAAAGACGACCTGTGAAACGTTTACTCTTGCAAGAGTGGCACAAAATTTCCAACAGCTTTGCTTTTTCCCCACAACAAAGACCTTAGTTTCCTCTATGAGAAATAGATTACAAGCTGTTATAGATGTAAAAGGTATGCATACAAAGTACTAAACAATATACTGATTTTGTTTTTGCTCATAATTTTGTCAATTTCACAATTTTGCCAATACTTTTTTATCATGTAAATTTTGGATTTTCTCGTAGATTTTGATTAAAAAAATATTCAAATGAAAATTTTGTTATATTTGTTTGTCTTTTCTCCTTCTGTAATCGCTATGTTAAAATAAAATTTGTAAACATACTTTGTTAGCAAATATGATCATTTATAGGCAATTGCCAATACTTTTTTTATCCACTGTATCATTTAAATTTTTTATGATGAAGACCATATATGACCGTCTCTTTTTGACCAATAATTTTTTTAACTATGTATAATTGTCACCCTTTTCTGAAAATAATTTGGCTTATGCCAGTGGCAAGGTCTCAAGGACTAGAGGGACTAAGTCTGCTAACATTTTGTGCCCTGTTGTTCTATTTTTGATGATGATGAGAGTATTTGCGTAGTGTAAAACGTGGTTGCCTGTCAAAGGAGCAGACGTGATGTAAGAGAAACATAACTTTTAATAGGTGCTTTCCTTGAGCTTTATATAACAGAAGAATAGGATATGTCAACTTATGACATGTGAGAAAGAACATAATATGAATAACAGGTGATTCACTTGATTACTATAAACTGCTACGTTATATCTGTAGAATCAATCTACTTGGCAATTCATTTAGGTCGGCAGGCGTTTATCTGCAAAAATTCCTTGCACTGTTTCATATAGATGCTGTCCTGGACACCCTGCTAGTTTAGTAACTATTCCTGTTGTAGTCTTCGAACAGCTATTTTCAATGTCATGATTAAATGCATCACATCGGCGAAATACACTGGAGAGGATCACGGCCATTTGCTGATGTCATAACCGGAATGACAGACACCCAGTATAGGCACATCGTGAGGAAACACAGCCTTTCTTGGCTTCTGGCGCGGAATTATATATAGTATTTTAACCCTCTTCATTAGTGCCCAGATGAACACATTTTCAGGTTGACAAACATTGCTGCGCGACGCATAATCTTGATGGTTGCAGTTTTCTGCAAGTACTGTTTTCTCCTCATGGCGGCCAACAAATAACCTCAGGATAAAGGCGAATGGTACAGGCATGGCTCAGATTATTCTACGGATGAATCCGAAAGTACTGATATTCTTTTAGATTATCTAAATCGAGCACTAAGAGAAAATTTCATCTAAAAGACTTTGTAAAATTCCCCGTTGCGATATGAGTAGTAGTTCCAAGAGAGGACAGAAACTTAAAACTTCATCTCAAAGTAGCTCCGCTATCTCTCAGAATGATTTCCTCGTCTCTTTGATTCCAGAAAAACTCAAAATGCTTATGACACTCATCAACCCGCATAGAGAACAATTAAGACTAGAAAAAAGAAAACAAAAATAGCACAGCTAATGAAAATGAAAAACCGCAAAAATTCAACAAGACAAAAACTCTGAAACTCCTAATAAAACATGTAAACAGCCAACTAAGACAGAAAGAATGGAAATTGAGCAGACTAATAAACTTGAATCCATAAATTCAGAAATTAACGTAAATGAAATAGACGACCAAGATATTAAAGATCCCACTAATTGTAATTGCTCAGGACGATATCGAATGGCTTACAAATGACCAACTTTTAAGCAAAATTTGCACGAATGATTATGAAGCGTGAGACGTAAATATATATTCTTATTAACCCAGACAATAGAAGATTAAAGCAAGATAGTTCAATATATAGAACAAACAAACTAAACTTCAACACTTACCAACTCGAAAATGAGAAAACTACAAAAAAAGTTCTAAAAACATTTCGAAGTCAGTTCCAGAAGAGGCCATATTCAAAAACTTATCTGAAACTTCCCATTCCGTAAAGTAATTTACCAGGAAAACTCAAGATACAATAATTAAACTCCCAGTTTGTTTCATCGAACTAGAAAACGCGAAAGAAGGAAAGGTCATATTTCAAGTGAACAAATCTTTAATGTTAACACTAGACCATACGAACGAAAAAATCAAACGCCTGACACGGTGCTTTAAATGCGTGTGGTTCGGGCACACCCAACATAGCTGTTTTCACGAATAAAGATGCTGTAAGTGCAGTAAAAACCGCAGAAGCTCCGAATATCGAAGAAAATCAGACGAAAAACTTGTTTCTGTTTCCTGTACATAAAATCATGTCAGCTCATATCGAGGCTGTCCGAATATCAAAAACGCTTAGCAGAAATTCAGAAAAAAAGAAATCAAGAAATATCCAGCTCCCAAAATAACCCAGGAAAATTTCCCAGCATTCATGAAAATTACTGCTGCAGAAACTCCCAGTTCTAAAACATCCAGCTATAGTGACATCTTCAAAACAAATCTTAACGATAAACAAGAAATATTATCCATTCTCGATATCTTTCGAAACCGGACGTTATTAATTTCTTTCAACAAATCAGGTACATTGTCACGAAAACCAAGGAACACAAATTACAATAGAAAAGATTTCATTAGAACTTTAACCAGTTCAGATTTTAATGTGCTTCTCCGAAATAGAAGATTACGTTAGGCTAAGTCATCATAGTCGAGAGGATTAAATCATCAAGCTACAGTTCATGACTTTGTAGGTTGGGATCTGCCCGACTTACTTTTCTCATCTAACATATGCCATTTTTTGCCTCGCAAAAAACTGGATTTTCTTTTTCTCTACTTCTCAAGCTCCAAGGGAGTACGAAACTGGCATTGCCAAAGGCTCATACAAGCCATAACCCTCTAATAAAGTCATGATCTGAAGTCTGTGAGAGTACAGATGCACGAGAGAATGCAAATTTCCCTACATGCATTAACGCTTTCAAGACTATTTTTACCTAACATTCAAAAGTATTAAAAGGAACATTATTTTACCTGTTCTTAAGCTGGACGCGATTCGAACGTAATCAGACGCGTAGCTACGGTTTTCAGCTTCCGGGGATAACTAAAGATTTTGGGCACCTTTCTGTGCTCCAAGAATCGAAAACATTTCATTCTAAAATTTGTAGCACCAATTTGGCGCCCCTGTATGCTGCGCCGAGACAGATGTCCCCCTTCCTCCACTCTAGCTACGCCACTGAGTGTAGACGTGTTTTCGCACGAAAGGGAGGAGCTTGAATTACCTTCAGTCTTTGCCAAGCAGGACTAGCTCGCTTTCACCTGTTCTCACAGCAGTCGTACCGTTATTACTTTGCTGTCATTTTTGATGGTAGTAAGTGGTTAACAATGGAAATGATTGACCATATGTTGCATGTTAAAATAAATTATCTTTATTACGTACTTATTGACCTACAATTGAAATTTTGATTTATACTTCATATTTTTCAGTTTTATTATTGATTACAAAACATTTTTTATCATGATAAATGGAGTTATTAAATCAAAGAGACCAAGCGGGTTTTAGCATAGGAAATCCAAACAAGCGAAGACTGAAGCACTGAAGGCACTTTCTGTATCCATGCTTCAATATGTTAAAAACTCAGATGATAATCAGAGTTCATCAAATGACGCTGTTCTTCATTTTCCGACTGTCATAACTAATTTTTCCAGTTCTAGCATACACGTAACAAAAAAAAACTCGATATGATTACATTTGAAAAAGAGGAGTATCTTAAAAGTAATGTAAGTCAGGGTGATACTGCGCATGAAATTGTTGTTAAAGAGAAAGATTTTCAAATTTTACGCAAAGTTTCTTTCTGACAGATACCTGTTCCAGATCATTTTCGAGTTTATAATCATACAGATGCAAAAGTTGATTTACTATAACTTTCAAAAGTCTGATTTTATAAAGTAATGTCAAATGGAGAAAAATTCTTCGATCATGGATGGTTTATCCACTCGATAGTAAAAATTTATACGATTTTTGTTGCCGACTATTTGCTATAATTGCAGTATGTACGATATCCATATTTGTAACTGGATTTCAAAAGTGATGGAAACGTAGTCTTAGAGTAAATAATTACAAGATATCCAAGGAACTTTTACCTTGCCTTGAGAAGTGGAAAACACTAGAAGCGAGACTGAGGCTATACAAAAATACTGACGATGAAATATTGTTATTATGGAACTTGAGAAGAAAATGTGGAGAGACATCTTATGTTGATTACCTTCTATTACATTGTTTCTAGCCAAGTATAATTTAACATTCCGTGACCAGGGAGAAGATCAAGCTTCGTTTAATAAGGAAAATTGTCTTGAAATAGTAGAACTACTCTTAAAATATCATCAGGTGTTTAAAAACACCTAATGAGATGAAAAGTAGCACGTGCATGTTTAAGTATAAAGTCTCGTATCTTGAACTGAAAGTTTTGTCAGTTCTCGTAGCAAATCATGTGAAGGAAAAACTTATCAAAGATATGAAATCTGCACCATTCTTTGGGATAATCTTTAACAATACAGCAGACATATCCCATGTTGATGAAATGTTTGAAGTGATTAGATGTATAAAAATTAAGAACAGAAAAGTGAAAGAAGTATTTTAGGATTTTTTTCAATTGCTAGGAAAAAGAAGGCTATTGATCTTAGTTCCGGAATAATTAAGAAACTGAAAATTCATGGATTTGACAGAACGGCGCACCCTTCTCAGAGCTTAATGCTGCTATCATGGCTGAAATACTGAAATACATGGGATATAAAAGCTATTCTTAAGGTAAAAAATAAAAAAGCTGTTTTTAGTGGACATGTGGATCATTCGTTTAATTTGTGCGATCAGCATTTTTAGCAGATGTGTAAAAATTTTTAGAATACTTGAATCAATGTTTTTTTTTCCTTGCTTCCACCCATCGAAGGGATATATTAATTTATTAATTACAAATACCGAACTGTCATTGAAAAGACTATCAACAACACGTTTAAGTGCTCATGACGCTGCAATTCAGCCAGCAAAAGAAAATTTTTATAAGTTTATGGCGGCTATTGAAATTCTTTACAGTGCAAATGAAAATTTAAGCGCAAGTGAGATCAGACCAAGGTCTTTTGTCAGCTATCTGCGATTTCACTTTTTTGTGCTGCTATATTTTTGGTGTAGTATACTCCAAGAATAAATATAAAACAGGAATACTTGCAAACCAAAGGCTTAATACTTTATAAAGTGATTACAAAACTAGCAGCATTAAGACTTTGTCTTTACACAGCACAATAACCTAGTGGAAAATACAATTAAACAGGCAGTAATCAAATCAAAAGAATATGAAAATGTAATAGCGAGAAGAGCAAGGTTTAAGAAAAGGAAGAAAGGAGGACAGACAATGGGCGCTAGACTCTCTGCAAGAATAAAAGAGCTATGTCTGAATGCATTCATCGTTTCCATTCGGAATTCCAGACGAGAACACAAGCCATCAGTGACATAGCAGGTATGTTTGAGGCTGTTTAATTGAATTGTCTCATATATGCCAGTAAAGAAAAATTAAAGGTGTTTGTTCCAAAATTAACCCCTTTTTATAATGAATAATTGGAGATGGAGCTTACAGAAATAATAAGACTGAGAAGGCATCTTAAAGCAATAAAGACTGATCTGGAAGACGCTAGAAATTGGTGATTATTAGACTTAATGGCTGAATGGGTCTTTCTTGAATTTTTTCCAGTCCTCTCACTATGTCTAAAATTATTTTTAACAGTCTGTGTATCCGTGGCTTTATGTAAGAGGGGATTTTCAAAGCTGAAACTTATTATTTACGTTCCGCCATGGGAAAGTAAAAATGAATTGGCGTAAAGCATTGAGGTCGATAATGTGATTAAAAGTTTCACATTTACGAAAGGTAAAAAAGAGATACTCATCGTCATACTATATAGAGAGGTTCTAAATTTTTTCAACGTGTTTAAAATATTAATCTATTTTTTCCTAATTATTTATTGGGTTGAAACACAAGTAATGTTCGTTTATGTTTTGTTTAAAATTACGCGGTAAAAATAAAATGCATTGGTATAATGTTTTGTGTTATTCGAAAGAGAATCTTTCCCTCTACAAGATGACGTATTTGACTTTTTTTTTTTTGTCTGCGCTAATTTTTGTTATTTTTCAAATCATTAAAATGGAGTGTCAAGTCGACAGAAATAAGTATTTTCGCAACCTTCTTCTTTTTGTGTTTAATTGAAGCGCCAATGCTGCAAAAGTTGCCTGGGAGATTTGTGAAGAGCATGGAGAAGGTCCAATGCTTGAACGAATTGCAAGAAATTGGTTTGCCAAATTCGAAACTGTAAAGTTCGACTTCGAAGACGCTGCTCGTTCGGAAAGACCAAATGAGTTTGATGAAGAGCGTTTGAATCAACTTCTGACGAAGACCCGCGTCAAACCATTCGAGAACTAGCCGAACGAATAGGTTGTAGCCAATGACTATAGTTCGACATCTTGGGTCTATGGAGAAAATCCAAAAACTCGGATATTATTGACTAATTTATTCTTTTTTGTTTTGTTAAAGTAAAAATTTTTTTAATAAAAAAAGGTCATTACTTATGTTTCAACCCAATATATTAATAATTATACACACTCATCCACATACGACAACACTCGTCCACATAAGGTTCAGCTGGTCGGCGATTACCTGAAAAGATGAGAATACTCTTCGCATGGATTAGCCAGCCAAATCTCCTGACCTTAACCCTATACAGCATGTATGTGGCGCTCTTGGCTCGGCAATTTCATCTTTCCATTCCCCTCCGAGAACCATGCCGGGTTGAAAACTGCGTTGCTACAGGAGTGGGATCGACTGCTACAGGGACTCATCAACTGCGTCCTGTCGTGACCTTCGGTCCTGTCCAGTATGCCGCCACGCTGTGCGACCTGTATGGCTGAATGAGAGGTATGCAAACGCAATATTATATTCATTTTCAGTTCCATATAACAAAATGGATTTTGAACATCCCTGCACTATGAGCTTTACTGATAATCATGCGTACATAAAATTAATTTTGAACGGTATATGTCTTTCTCTGTTATAAATGTATGTTCATACTAAATTTCATTAAAATCTGTCCATTATTTTTTCAGAAATTCGACATAATGCGCAAATTCTCTTAATTTTGCCTACGAGGGTTACTGGTATGGTTGGATTTTGCGGACCTTAAATAAAATAAAACTTTTGCGAATAATTTTCATCTATATAATCGATTACCCATTGAAATTATTTTAAAATAAAAGATGCTGTATATTTTCCCTGCAAATATTGATCATATCATAAAACTTAAGATTCCTTGGCAAATAAAAAATCGTTAAGTAGATCGTGATGTTTCGTCCTGCGATCACGTCATACTATATAGAGGTTAATTTAATTGTTCTTATTACGTATCTTTTTTTATTATTATTATTTACTCACTAAAAATTTACAGGTTTACAAATCGTTACGCAGTGGAAGATGTGCAATATAATGAACTACGTATTCCTAAAGGTATGCTAATTCAGGCTCCAGTTTATTTGATACATCATGATTCAGAATTTTGGCCTGATCCTGAAGTTTTTGATCCTGAAAGGTAAGTCCAGAAATTCGAAGACTACTTGTTAAATCGAAGATTATTTTTTAAAAAACAACCAACATGCTTCAATTTTCAATATTTTATCAAAGCATCATTGGAAAAATTATTTTTATCATCGTACATGTTCTCAGTTACAACTTCAAATTAACATAACTTATATGCAAATCTGTTTTACATTAAAGATCCTGAAAAATAAATTATCTTTTATAAAATAGTTTAAGTTTTCTTGAAATGCTGAACATGTTTTGCACGCAGTTATCCAACGTGCTTTTTAAAGGCCTATCGCGTTTATTTGGAATAATCCTTTAGAGAAACTCTTGTCAAGGATTTACTTATCTTTAGATAAAAAGATATGCATAATATATAATAATGGAAATAGTTTTTTTCTAATGCATGGTTTTCATCCATTTGGCTGATTACTTAATTGACTGCGGCAAAACTCGCGAAGGAGATTTTTTTGAGAAAGGATGTCTTCATGAAGGATTTTCTAAAGGACACTGGCTTGTATTCACCTTTCAAATGGGAGAAAAGCACAAACTCCTGTACAGCTAGTCCGTTTACGATAAACCAAACCTTGGACGAAATGCCACTGCTCAGCAGTTTTATCCACTCCGTTACTGGTGGACAACTTTCTTTCATATGGAAAAAATTCCCAGAATTTCAACTAGTCATAGATCACAATGAGATTTTCATCCAAAACATAATAGGTACTAGAATAACGTTACAGCTGAAACAGATTTTCTTGTCCATGTCAATCCTGTAGCAGTTAGTACTGATTAATTGGCATCATGTGAAAATGGAATGATGACATCCAAATACTATTAAATTTTTAAACAGTATTCGCAAGCAAAAAGAATATTGAATACTGTTTGAATTAAGAAGTACTAATCTGTTATTCAGATAAGCCCAGATATGCAAAGATTTATTTGTTCGGGACTTAAAAAGGCATATGCTGAAAATAATCTTTATTATTTTTTCACTCGTGTTTATGTTTCTAAATTGCATTAAATTAATGTTGTAGGTTTTCTGTAACGGAAATAATACATTAACTGAACCTTATTTTGTTTGATATCTCATCCCATATTTACAGTTATTGTAAAAGTTCCTCTTTTAAAATTTATTTAATGTTTTGGATATTCTGTTTCAGACAGAGTTGGAAACACTGGATTTACACTAGCCACATCACGGTGCAGACCAAATTTAACACTGTTGAGGAATAGTAAAAAACAAAGTTGAAAAAATAAAATAAGCTACTTCTAAACACAATTACATACAGTATCAGAGATAAATCTTAGATCTATAAGAACGTGGTAGAAAAAAATTCAAAGAATCAATTTACTGAGCGAAGCTGAGTTAGAACTCCACTAATTTCGAATCTTTAAATTTAATTGTCGAGACGCAGATGCAGTGAAAAATATAATTATTGATGAATGATGCAGAACAGAAGCTGGACGATGCAAAAATGACCTTTAGTGAACGGAGAATGAAAATTATAAAATGCCGTCACATGAGTTTAATTCGTTGACCTGAATCTCGACAATGTCATGCGCTAACACTTACGTGGAAAGAAGTAAAATAAAATTGAAGACACCTAGAATGAAAAAGGAAATATTCCTATATTTAAAGATTGCGCAGGATAGATAATAATGTAAACAGACAATTATGTATGTAGATCCAACGAGTTGAACAGACAGCGCTGCTTAAGATCTAAAAAAGTAATTTTCTAGAATAATTTCATAGTTAAAGATTTTAACAAAATTTGCTGAATGATTTGTTTCTGAATTACTGTAGGAATTTTCGTTTAGCTTATTGAAGTAGTCCTTAACGTAATCAATTTTTAAGTCATTGTACAGATTTCTGTTTCTGACAAACCAAAGGCTGAGATGAAAAAATTTATTTTACTACAATAAATAAATAAAATTAAAAAAAAAAAAATGTAGCTTGTTAACTTCTTTTTCCTCTCCCATAGTGTTTTCGGTCGCCAATATCATAATACATCGCCAATAGTCTACAGCAAACGCCAACTTATTCAAAACCCCCTGAAATTATCTTCAGGGGGCTTTGGCTTATTGCGCCAGAGAAGCATAAATGCTAAAGCAACACGCTACTGGTTAGTATCCGGGGGAACGGGCTGGCTGCATAGATTTTTTTCGAGGTTTTTCCCATGTGTTACACGAATACGAGTCAGTTTCCATTAGAAAGTTCTCCACGGAAACATATCTCTCCGTAGGGCAGATAGACCTTGTGTGCTTTATCGCATTCCAATAGCATAATTTGCTTAATAAAATATCGAAATTTTTTTAAATAAATAATAAAATATTTTGAGATGATTGCTGTATAGTTATTACATGCAAGATATTAAGCTCTGAACGCCATACTGTGTTTCTTACGTTTTCTGTTTTAATTGCTATATTTCAGCGGTAACTGGAATTTCGCCTATTTCACCCAGTAATTTCTTACCAATTGACCACCCTTAAATAATCAGTGTAGAAGGTGTGGAGGCTTTGGTTACATTAGGTGACTCACGTCTCCTCAGGAGCACCATGTGATTCCTTAAGAAGAATAGATGAAAGAAAAATTGGGCCGGGGAGGCGGAGGATTGCACCTAAAATGAGACATAAGCCTACTTCTGTCCTTTAAAAACTCTCCATAATATTTTATGAGCATCACGAGGTAACAAACTCATAGACCATAGCAAATCCCATGAAATTTTAACGCTTTGAAGATGGTGGTCGAAATATAGATCACAGCTGCAATGTTAAAAAACCAACCAAAATATCGGCCAACGAAATTCTGCCCCTTACCCCTCAGGCTCTTGAAATAGTCATTGTCCGATGACCTTCCTTGGCCTTTGTCCGATGACATTCGCGGTACTCACAGCTATTATATACGGTTTCGCAAATTCCCTTTCGTTTTCACTCAACAGTGGAAGATTAGCTCGTGGTAAATAATCTTCAGTACGTTTCGCGTAATTCACGTGCTGTCTAGAATTCTGCAGTAATACTGCCAGTTGAAGGACGTAAAATGTAATACAATGAAAATATAATTAATAAAAAGTTATTTTTTTAACTAAAGGAAAATATTAAGAAACACACCCATTAACAAAACAAAAAAAAAAAAAAAAAAAAAAAAAAAAAAAAAAAAAAAAAAAAAAAAAAAAAAAAAAAAAAAAAAAAAAAAAAAAAAAAAAAAAAAAAAAAAAAAAAAAAAAAAAAAAAAAAAAAAAAAAAAAAAAAAAAAAAAAAAAAAAAAAAAAAAAAAAAAAATAAAAAAAAAAAAAAAAAAAAAAAAAAAAAAAAAAAAAAAAACGAAAAAAAACACACCCATTAAAAAAAAAAAAGAAAGCTATGATCAGAAAAATGCAAGGAAAATTAATGATATAGTTTGAATGATGAAATATTTACTACCAAAAAAAATCAATAACGTGTTTTTTTTTAAACTAAATGCGAATTTTAAAACGAATACTCAAAAGGAAAAAGATACTAATATCACAAAAATTCAAGGGGATTTGGTCAACAAGTATGTATAAAACTAAAATTGTTAACCCCATTTTTATTTAAAAAAATTAAATTAATGTAAACTGCTGATTTGTTCCAGAAAAAAAAAATTTCAAGCCATTATTTTCGTATATAAATTATAATTTTTAATCAATACATGTAATTCTAAACTATACTTAGTTTGAAAAACGATCTAAAACTGTATTGATATGTATTGAAACTGAAAATGCATTGGTTTTATCCATATCTAGAAAATAGTTGCTGCGAAGGTCTATTTTCAAAATTAGGCAGTGTTTGCAAGAGTTAATATTCTATTATTCGACAATAACGACTTCGTGGGTTTTCCTAGTTTAGGAATAAGAATCGGCAGAAATTTGTTTCCCCTACTCTCTCGGCTCATCAGCGGCTGAGCGGCAAAGTCGCTAACACTGGTAGTTCTGTACAGGGTTCATTTCCAGCCGAGCGGGCTGACTGCATGGGCGCTTTCGTGGTTTTTCCCATGTGTAATGTGTATACCAGCCAGTTTCCCATAGAAAGTCCTCCACGAGGGTATCCCTTCCCTTGGGCAGCTAGCCCTCACGTGCGTTGCCATAACTAAATAAACCAAACCAAATCCTAGTCTTTTACCTGTATGTTAACAAAGGTGACCTCTTAAAGAAACGTTTTCAGAAGTCTTTGGTAGTTTCCTTTGCAATCCCAGCTCAAAAGGTGAGGGGAGAGTACATTACTATTTCACATCTTTTTAAGTGCAACCTTTGCAAAATTTACCGTTTTTTGAAGGTTTTTAATCAGTAGGCAGTTACTTTTAAGCTTCGCCAGAGGCCAAGGGACCAAAAGGTGAGAGTTCGACCCGCGTTGAATCCTAGGCGAAATGAATTTGGCTGCCTGGTTAATTTTTTTTAGTCTTTCCCACGTATTACGTAGATACAAACCAGTTCCGCTTATAAAGTCCTATCCAAACATATTCCTCCCCTTAGGCGGATAACCCTTGTCTGCTTTGCCATATTCAAAATAATCTAAAATGCAGTTACAGTTTTTGTGTAAAAAACATACATACTTCAGGAGTTCAAGACTTATGGTTATAGGCAGTCTAAAGTTGAAGAAAATTATTCTGGAATTAAGTATCAAAATTTCTAGATCAAATTAAAAAATACGTTTAGAAGGAACGTTTAACTTTTAATTGCTATCTGTAATCTGATTCTCATTCAAAACATCCTGTCTATTTCTTAATGCATAAAGAGTTGAAAGCTTTAAAGCTATAGTAGATTAAACTTCATTCAATTTGTTTCAACACTGCATAAAATTGCAAGGTAAAGAACAATGGTATCAATCTATCAAGACAGATTATTATAAATAAATCAATGTCACTGGTAGAAACAGCTTTTAAAACGTTTTTCGTGTAACTTAAATGCAAAAGTCAGTACTTTTTAACAAAATATGATCGTCATTCATATACAATTGAAGAACCCTATTATTAAAACCCACCATTGACCAGAAGGTTAAAGCTGTGAAATAATGGTAATTAGTCTCGATTTCTTTTCAGTTATTATTGAATATATTTTTTGCATGAAGACTATGTATTTTATCTATGCATAAAGTAAACAGGATTTAGTTTCTTTTAAAAAGTCTAAGAAGGCATATTTACCTTAAAGCACATAGCTCTGTACTGTTTCGCCGTATTTAAACATTCAAAGAAACTCATTCAAAAAATAGCTGTCTCGTTCCATGGCAGTGCACGAAATTTCCTGATACAGCAAAGTTGTTAATATGTTCAAATAATCACTGATAAATTTGTCATTTTTTTCGTTTCCAAGCATTTTTAAAGGCTTGCAGTTTTTGATTGTGATTTCACTACTAACTCAAGCCCAAAAAGATACTATTCTGCACTTGGCTTGCAAGTTTTGATTTAATTGTTCATATTCATTCTGTTACCTATGTATTAATTAGCTTTTTCACGTTTTTAATCTACACAACTGAAAGTCAAGTTAAGTAGATTAAAAACACGATTAAAGCTAATATAGTATAGAGTTAACTAACATTTTATTTAAATTTTAGTACGTATAAAATTTTAACTATTGTATCATATTTCTTATGCCTGGGAAAATTAGAGAAACAACTTTCCTGAATTTCCCTTCTGTCTTCTATTACATTTTTCAGATTCAACAAGAAGCCAAATTCTGACGGAATTACGTATTTGCCATTTGGTATTGGACCCCGAAATTGTTTAGGCATGCGTTTTGCACAACTGGAAGCAAAACTTGCTCTGGCACACATTATATACAATTTTCGGATACATCTTAGTGATAAGCAAAAGGTTAGATATTTTGTTATAATATTTCATAAAGCTATGCCACTATGAAATAATACCGTAAAAATAATTTATGAATTTTAACTTTATTATTTTGTGTATAAACATAATTCTCAACTACTTTAAAACAGATGTTGTTAGTAGAGTTGCTTACGTGCAACTGAATCTACGAATCCCCGCATTTTAAATCGTCGACATTAAGCTTTAATAGTACCTGACGTCTATTTAAGTTTATCAATTTAAGTGATATCTGTTTAAATTTTTAGCATCTGGCATTTGTTTAAAAATGCAAACAATAGTTATTTTTACCTCATTACAAATTTTGAGTTTTGTAAAAGAAAGAAAACGGCATTTGCGGGAAGTGTTACTTCGTTATTTTATTAAAAAAATAGTTGCAGCGGAAATGTACCCGCTTTCTACTGGAAATTTATGTGGGCATGTTCCATGGACAACTTGCGCTGCAGCAGAAATGTACCACTTGTTACTGGAAGTTTACGATGAACATGTTCTATCGACTACAACTTGCAAAGAGAGGTTTCAACGATTTAAAAATAGTGATTCCGGTATATACGACGAAGAGTATAGAAACCACCAAAAAAATTCTCAAGATGGAAACTTAATTGTTATTTATTATCGGACGAAGATTATTAAACGTAATCGGAGTTGACTGCTGCATTAAATGCTATCCAAATATATATTTCTGAAGAGCTACATGCAACGCCGTTCAGTGTCTCGATCTTTCAATTAATATAGGGTCTAAGCTAGAAAACTGCATCTTATGTAAGTTGAAAGAATGAGACATTCAGTGTCGGAAAACTATATGTGAATTGCTGCTTCAAAGACAAAGAAGAAAAAAAAAAGAAATTATTATTGTTGAAGAGAAAAAAATGACTTCAACATTAAATGAGCAAAAGTATGGGTGCGCAGATGAATCATGTCCATCTGGTGGGACCTGGGACCAAAAGGTCGTAGCCTACTTTTTGTTGCAACCTATTTCAAATAATTAATGTTGAACATTGCAAACAACAGTTATGCAATTTGAACAAAGAATTGAAGCAAAGACATCCAGTATATGCGGAAAAAGACTTCAAGGTTATTCTTGAGGATAGTACTCGCTCTGTTTTCCAAGGTCAGTCAAGGTAAACTTTACAAGCACTTCGTTTCGCTGGAATGTGTTGCCGTAGCCGCCGTACTTACTAAAGTTTGTTCTTTTAAGAACAAATATTCGCTCTAGATGGATTTGTTCCAATCCATCTAAAGTGGCCTCTCGGGCATGAAGGTTCAGTTTTTACGGGAATATACAAAATTGACTTTATGGATGAACTGTTTCAAAACAAGACCTGAAGTTCACTGGCGACACTTCATGAATCAGTCTGATGCCTGACAGAGGACGAACATATAGTAGCTGCTGATGGAAAACATTTTGAACAAGCCTTTCTTTTATTTAGAAAACAAACATCTATTTACTCTAAATAAGGCGGGAATTTTCCTTGTAGTCTAGCTCTGAAAAGGCGCCATTATCCTCAGTAAACGTTTAAGCTGGATCATAAGGATCCCACATGTTCACTTACTACATAAATATCAATGTTTTTTACGCATGTGGGATTTATGAATAAAGGTTAAATTACGTAGCAAGATATAGCTTAAATTCTACGCACATGAGTGAGATTTTACTGCTATGTTATATATTAAATACGGATTTGCTTAAGTATTGATGGGATAAAGCACATAGAAAGAACTGCTGCGGAAAAGAAATGGATTCTTACAGCAAAAGTAGCAGAAAGAATGAGAAAATATGTCCTTTAGTTTTGTTTAAGATGATTCTGTATTATCTTACTTTAGTTTCTCACTGGCGACACTTCCTGCATATATTTTAGCAAGTACTTTATAGATATCCTAAGAAAAACCTCTGATCTCACCGTTTGGGATTGTTATTGAATATGCAGATATCGTATTTGGATTAATAACTTTAATCAAATTTTTTTAGCGCCCGTGTAATGTGCAATACTTGACTTTTTAAGATGTTAGATATTTTTTGCAGTTTATGATTTTCATGGTGTTAATATGAATTTCAGAGGATTTAGCAAGTGTCCTTGCACTTACCAGTAAACTAAGCACTTGTTATATATCTGCAGACCATTTTTCTTATGTGTCAGATTCAAAGAACATAGTTCACTTTTTGATCTATAATGTAATGAAAAAAATGTTTTATATTTGTTTCGTTTATTGTAAACCCGTAATGCTGTTATTGTAATTTTTTCAGGATTACTTCAGAACAAGTCTTCGAATACGAACCATTACGCCAAAAAATGGTGTTTTAGTAAGAATGGAACGCAGAGAATTGGAAACAAGCATATAAGTGATTTCGGAAAATTCGATTTGCACATTGTCATCTATTCAAACTCTTCTTCATGTTAAATAAATAGTCTTGCAGCAATTAAGAAAAATAAATATGTACTACATTTTTTTAATTATTTTTGTGCTTTGAAACAACGATGATATAACTAAGAACCTTAACTTCTGAAATTAAAAAAGTGTTTTAAATATAGATTTTTATTGTTTCGAGTTATATCCAAAATCATTTTCCTATTCCCAATCCACATAAAACTGAATAACTGTGTAAGGAGGAGATAGCTACTATAGTATATCTACATAATACATAAGATTTTTCATATCCAGAGTACAAGACAGCTATGTTTGGAAATTTGAATTTCCAGAAACTTTCCATGTGTATAAGAAGTGATTGATAACTAAGGTATCCAATTGGATAAAATAAGTTTATATCGAAATAAAATTATAAAAGTAGTATCAAAATGAGACAAAATTATTTCACTTAAAAATCCAACATCTTCACCATTTGCGGCTACTAAATTTTTCAAACCTAAGTTACACTTTTTCATTCCACTCATGAAGAAAGTCTGCGGTTTCTTTCGAGCCGTTTGCGCGGAGTAATTTTAACTTCGGTTTCAGATGAAAAAGTTGATCTTTCATTCAGGGTTCTCTGCTATTAGTACCGTTCCCGATTTTGGAAAAAGACCCGAAACCAGATCAAAGTTGTAAGGTGTATGCAGAACAAAAGTAAATTTCAGGCTTGCTATTTTTATATCTTTTGCTGGCTGCAGTGCACTCTAGCACCGTTATGCATCTAAAAAAAAAAAAGAACCAAATCCTACTTTTCATGACTTATTCTGCGGTTTCTTTGCTGAGGTTTTGTGACATCTTTCCAGTTTACTCCTTATTCTCTTAGACAGAACCCTTTTATGCACTCAAACTACTATTACTCGCTGCTTTTTATACAGAACTCAGATGTAGAATATGCATGACTACACCATTTCATTTGCACTTGAGCTACAGCTGTCGAAAGTAAATACAAGTGATACTATGCTGGAGGGGCATTCAGTCAACCGACGCACATAACATGTACGTCAGAATTTTTCCTTTCCTAAAACATGCAAAAATATTAAAATTTTATATTTTAAAATACAGGTGTACGTATAATTTTGATTATATTTTGCATTCAGAATATGGGAAAACATTCCACATATTGTGTAATAAACAGGGTGATTTAAAAATGTTTCAGTAAGGATTTTGAAAGTTATTTATAGCTAAACGAATAAAAAGGCGTCGACATGCATTTTATTTATGGTGTTGCGGACTGAAACAGAGCAAGTGTTCGAAGTACGTGCTTGGGAATTTTCCTCTCCACGTCATTTGAGCAGCGGATCCGTTGTAGCCACAGTCCCATAAATAAAATGCATATCGACGAGCTTTGCTTTCTTGTAGTTGCTCAAATTTAAATTGCTCGAAACCCGCACGGCGAATGGCGATTTGTATTAGAAGATCGCTTTTACCTTCAGCTCAACAGTCGCTTATACCACCTCAACGTGCCATTTCAAACACATATTCTATTTCAAAATCTGCTTATTTTGGTGCCATTATGTTTTACCAGACATTTTTTAATCACCCTGCATATGTGATTGCTTGGTGTCAGCGAATCTACATACACGGTACAAATTCTAACACTAAGAACTTTTTCGAATTTCCAATTCGTGAATGCCTGAGGTTCGAGAGACACTAACAGATCACTTTGCTTTCGTAATAAAAAGTTTTAAAAATATGTTAATAACCGATTTCCGCATTTTTATGCCGCAAAATTGTTTATATTATATATACGCTCGAGCCTTAACACATTTTTTCTCAGTTTCTTTTCAGTGGTAAAATCGTTTCAAAAATTAATTGAACGGATAAATTTTAGGTACGTTTTTAAATTCATTGTAGTTTAGGCCAAAAAATATATTATTAAATACGGCTGGGAACGTTATAACAACATTATTCTGCGAATGTCTGTAACATAAATTTAAAAGCACTAATTACAGTTTCATTTATTAAAAGTTGCCGATATAAGTTTTCTAAAACCCGTGCTATAACCAAAACTGCTGTACTGAAACCTTATTTGGTTCACTTCTTAAATTGGATCTACAAATCTACGACTCATAGTTCAAACAAGTTATGCGATCATTTTTAAACACCCTTTATAGGCATTTTTGCTATCCGAAGCCTAGGTACTGGAAATCGCTGAAAGACAGCCTGAAACTATCGGTCATTTAAGGGCTGTTCATCGAGATGGTACTTGAGTTGAATCCTCCTCCAAGCAAACGAGCAGAAGGCAAAATTAGCCAAGCATTTTCAGGAATCGTAGCCCGCAAACTACCATATCATCCGGTGCGGTGTTTGTATAGAACAATAACGAAACTCTACTTTTATGCAGAAATAAAACACCTAGTTTTTGCTTTACAGTTGGTGATATTCTTCCTATACTTTCTTAGCTTTCATTCTAGTATAAAAAAATGAAATAACTTATAACAAAGAAATACAAATCTATTATACAAACGGATGGGAATTCATGCAGTCAAAAGTATATAAAAACTATTCAGAATGAAAGGAAATGTAGAGCCCTCAGGAGGTTTACCCCTACCGCTCATGAAGAAGACTGGCAGTTGAAAAGTCTGAGCGAAAAGTAGAAAAAATCCTCAGACGGCATCTTCGATAAGCATGTCGTCTTGAAACGTTCTCAGATCGTGACAGTTAACAAAGTTACTTGACAACGTTACACAAAAATAGGAAAAAATAGGCTTTTATATTCAAAGCGTGCCAGCCTGAAAGCAACAGCGTTGTAAGGAGTGTATTATAGTTCAAAGTTTTTAGTTAAATTGATTTGAAATAACAAATGAATTCAGAACATCAGTTCAAATTTTAGAATCTTAAAAATTGTAAATTAATGCTTTAAAATTCTGAAATATTCCACACTTTAACCCTTTAATTGACAGATGATTAAAATCAAGTTGCTTTCTGAGCAATCGTGCTAAATAAAGGGTTAAACTTTTTTGCAACAAAAATACTTAAAACGAAAATCCAACACTTTACTTTTTTTGTTTGCTCAGTTTTCGAATCTTCATTTGAATAATGTGTATCACACCCACACTTCAGTATAGAGATGATACATTAACCCTTTGTTGCATACAATAAAGTTCTTTGTTGCATATAATAATCTAGAGAAGTTCAACGAAAATGTTTGCATTTTTTCTACTTAAAATAACCTTAGTAATAATAATAAAAAATAATTTTATTCAAATTTTCGTTTTAAATAATTACTACAGTTTGTTCACTACAGTGGGCAGCATGCATATACGTACATGCATAAAAATCTCTTCCCAACGATTTACGGTCATTGCATTTGAAATCGTTTCCTGCCCCCCCCCCCCCTTTTTTTTTTTTTTTTTTTTTTTTTTTTTTTTTAACGATGATTACCATCTTCTAAATGGTAAATCTAAAACTGACATGTACATTACAGAACCCCCAAAATACCTTCATTTCGTCGATTGTGATTGAATTTATTTTGCTACGATTTTGTAACCTGTACCTATTTGGATTCAATGTCAGATGTTCTAGAAATTCCTTGCCAAACAAACATTTCCAGTGGCGTTTTGGCTTCATAAGCGGTACATTTGGGTTTCAATTCACTCTTTTCGGTAGATCTTTATTTACCCAGTCCACAATTTTCTCAAATTGACATTTAAAATAAAATGTCTAAAATTACTAATTATGAATAAAAAATGGCAGTATAAGAAAATGTAAGCAATATTATATAATGTTTACTATGAGAAACTGTACTAACTTGGAAATAGAAGTAGCAGCCATTTTCCAAATAGCAATGCTTTACTTAGTGATGCTATACAGCCATCTATGATCGACAGTTAAAAGTTCTAATATTAAAGAATGAATAAACACAGGAAGGGAATCTGCTAAGGCATTTACAGAAGAATAAACAAATTTAAACTTTTGTCTACTACAGGGGACATGATGCAACAAAGGGTTAAGATCGCAGAGATAGCAATATAAATTATACTCCCAAAAAAATAATTAAAATTATCAATAGCTTCAATCTATGCTCTGATGTAAAATATATCTGAAATTTTGCCTATTTCCTTTATAAATATTTAACAAATTAAACTGAACTTTAGAAGAATCAACATTTCTACATAATCCAACTTTAGCCCGCAATGACAATAAATACTCTACTTTATCATAAAAAATTTTAATTGCTTTTTTTATTTTTAATTTACAACAAAGCAATACATTACTTGAAGACAATATATTACAAAAAAATTACTATGAAATGATATACACACTTAAATCTTACGCTCTTGCTCACAAATTATAGTTTTAAATAAGTCTTATTTCTATTACAATTCAATCTAGAGACGCAAGTGTCATAACCATAGTCTACTAAGAAGATACACTAAAACACTAAAACCAAGTCCTAAAAGGTTAGAAGATCTTGAAACTATCGCCGAGTTGCAAAGGTCACCTTTGCAAAAGCACATCATAACTTTTCGGTTCTGGAACAAAGTTGGTGCACATCTCTGTTCTTCATCCCCTGGAGGTCTTTGAAGGCACATTCGCTCTGTAGCAATCGCATAATCTAAAGTGAAAATTTTGTATTTAATTATGTTTGAAACAAATTACAAGTAAGACTGCATATCTGAAACAAAAGTTGATCAGACTTTGCATGCATGTATATTTCAAAAAATGTTCTTGAATATGCTAATTTTGGAACTGTTTCACTCTTACATAAGGTAATTGAGATTTTAAAATAGACAAGATTCTGTATTTAAACCGCTACCAATTTGAAGAGCTCCAGGAATTCTCATGCAACGTATACAGTTTAAAGAACTGCAAATCATTACTAATAAATGCAAGTGACAAAAATAAATGAAAACTAAATTTTTGATTAAAAACATCTCAGACGCCCAATTACGATTTGTTCTAATCTGTTTGGACAAACGGAGAAAAGCCTTAAATACCCAAGACTGAAATTTTCTCATGTTGCTCTCCTATTCCAGCTCTTTTACCTTATGACAAAGAAACTTAAAAATTACTGCCATCATACCAAGGAAGTTAACATCAATACATTGTGAATACATACATTTTCTGTCTTTACAAATCAGATAATATAGTCGTATAAGAAAAATATTAAATATCACATAG